GATATATTTAAACAAATTTCTTGTTTTCATGCACCCAATGAATTACCACTTTTGGTGTAGAACTTAAAATCGGCTTAATTGTTATTGAATATAGATACAAAGACTATGACGAATACCACGCATACATTACAATGAACTGTTAAGTGTCTTATCAATGCGTTATTAAATACTATGTGTATGCCAGTAAATTATTTGAATGTATTTAATAAATACTGCACTAAAACCAATGGCCTGAAAATAAGTACTTGTGAACCACCCGGTCAACCCTTTTTCCTTATCAGGAGCGACAATTGCAAGTATGGTATCATCGTTCTTTGCATGTGTGATAATTAGCCTTTATCTAAATCTGTATTCCGCACAGCAGTTCTCCAAATAAATATAATAATTTACCTTCCAGGTAACTCTGGTCGACGTAAATTATGTTTGAAAGAACGGGCTTCAAACATAATCAGTCATTTGGTGACTAATATATTCAGCAGTGTATTCATTACGGCACTGTTATCAGTATGTTGTTCGATGTTGTTAATGGCAGCGCATAGAGCATGTTTTCTTGGTTTGTTGTTGTTACTCGGCTTAGTTTCCCAACATGCCATCATACTGTTCATGATTTGAAGCGTGGTTATTCTTTCCGCGTAGTAACCAGCAATCATTTATAATTGTACAGTATTCCAGCATTGCTCGAGCTTGATAAGGCAGTAATCAGACATATTACAGTGGAATGGAATGGATGGGGACCTGATTCTAGAATTTGATCGACTTTAAGATGAAAGACGTATTTTAAAAGTACTCATTTGCAGCAGTGCGTCTACAAGTTTCAAATGCTGCGCAATATTTGAAAGTACGTTTAAGACTGAAGTATTTGCCCTATCAATGTTGGTTGGTTGTGCAATTAAAATCTCAGTGCAAAATAATATTATCGTTGTTTAATCCATTAAATAAATGTTTTAAAACTTTGAAGAAGTCAGAGCGTTCTGGTGGATTAGTTGGTGCGAACACATTAATAAGATACAGTGGGTGGCATCAACAGGTCATGTGAACATGCGGTTGAACGTATTTGCTTTGGTTTAGCATAATTGTAACACCAGCTGAGTGTGTGGTTTCATGGGCGACATAAACATGCACCCTCCACAAAACGTCCCAATTTGGCACGTCGAAAGTAATTGTATAGTTTCCTATTAGAAAAAATACTCGGGTGATTGATTTTAAGGAAGCAATTGATACATTGAATCATGACATCTGTGGACATTCCATGTGAGTGGAAAGACAGACAAACATTGGTATTAAAGAATAAAGTAGCTAGAAAATTTTGTATTACAAATCACAATGGAATAGATTAACGACCTTTCACTGTTTTCCTGTTATTTTGGTAGGTAGTCCTTACTTACAGTTTAGTATTTTGTCAGTAGCATTTTTCATGTGTGCCATTCTGTGTGCGTTCTTTGCCATGTTTTATTTAATATTCGTTGTATATAACCTTTTCTGTTGCTCAAGTCTGCGTTTTTACGATGTTCTGTGAGTGACAGAACTCTGTCGCATGTTTTTTTCTTTCATTGACATGTTCAGCTTTGTTTTAGTGCATGGTTTAGTTTTTTGTAGTTTGTACGCTCGATTGGTACGCTCGTTTCCCTGTTGTATTCGTTGTTCATACAGTGATGTCACGTGTGTATCGTCTACAATTGTTTCCATGTAAACAGTATCTTGAATATTTATATCAGTCTTTACATTTGTTTTCTGTGTCATATTGTTTGTATATGCCTTTATTGTGGCACTTGTTAAATGTTGTTTCGTTTGTTGATAACTATATTTCATACTGACGTGCATCACATTTTATCATAATGCATATAAATTTGTTTGAAAAATTATTTGGAGAAAATTGGTGTTTTTATATTCAAGTGGTATTAGTCTTACTACACAACAATAACGTTTCAGCTCATTCTCAATGCTATTTTAAATGAATGGGGGCACCTGATAGAACAACTTTTGTGGCGTATGTAACTAATGCCTGACTTAAGAGTCGCCAATTGCCAATCATATCTTACATAGCTCTTTAGAACTCACCAGAACTATTAAAACAGAACAACGCACCCAACACATGAATTTACGTTTTGTGGTTTTCGGATACTTGTGAGAGGCAACAGGTAGTAATCTACGTCACATGTTAAATTCTTTCTTATACAGGATATTTTCACTGGCATCATATTTCAATATTACTTTCAGATGAGATATACTAAAAAAGTATCTATATGGCCTGTCGGCCTTTCCGGTGAGTTACGCTATGAAACTCCTATAATTGGTCCTGATAACAAGGTGAAGTCTTGGCATGCATGGAACTCTTCTGAAAGGAAATTTGCTACTGATATGGCGGGGTTTGCTATTAATCTGAACCTATTGCTGAATAACCCACATGTGTGGTTTAGTCACACAATGCCAGCTGGATTTTTAGAATCGTCTCTGCTTTCACAGTTGGTAGAACTGAATGATTTGGAACCAAAGGCTGACAACTGCACCAAGGTACCAAGAAATTTTTATATTTGATTAAATAGTGTTA